CTGCACCTAAGGAAGCGATCGTAACTGCTCTCCTCAGGCTGCGCTCGGTTGAGAGTTTTTTAAGTCACTGGTAACTGGCCAGCCTCTGCCTAAAATTTGCAGGTATGACCACAGTTGCCAGTCCCAGGCCCCGCCCACTTCTGCCCCTGTGTCCACTGGACTCCCAGCTTCCTGTCTGCTTTCTGTGTCTGTGTGTGTGCATGTTTGTGGATGCACCTGAATGTGCCATTTGGGACAGAATATCCTACTAGGAACTGGCTGGCCATCCAGCCCCAAGGATCTTCCGTCCTGACTCTGCCCCCCCCCAGCACTGAAACTACCAGCATTGTTTGTTTGTCTTAGATTTATTTATTTTATGTGTGCAAGTGTCTTTCCTGCATGTACATCTGTGTACCATATGCGTGCCTGGTGCCCTCCGAGGTCAGAAGAGGGCACTGGCTCTCCTGGAACTGTGAGCTGCCATGTGGGTGCTGGGAACTGAACCCAGACCCTCTCTGCAAGTGCTCTTAACCACTGAGCCATCTCTTCAGTCCCGTGTGTTTTATTTGAATAGGGCTGCTGGGGATCAATCTCAGATCATCAGGTTCGTTGCGCCAAATGCTCTCTCAACATTGCCAGTTCCCCAGCTCTCTCCAGCTTACTCTCGTCTTTACGCTTGCCGTTCTTGATTCTACACAACTGTTTGTCTAGATTCTTCTGTGGCTGACTCCTTCTCTCCTCAAGCCAAAGCCTGCTCATCCAAGAAGGCTTTATGTCTAATCTGTTGAAAATGGGAGTCCTTACAGGCATGGTAGTGCATTCCTGTAATCCCAGCGCTTGGGGAGTAAAAGTGGGAGAAGCAGGAGTTCGAGACCAGCCTTGGCTACACAGGAAGTTCAAGGACAGCCCGGGCTACATGAAAACCTGTCCCACAAAAAGCCAAAGAAAGGATCTGGTGAGGTGGCTCACAACCATCCTTAACTCCAACTCCAAGCGTTCTGACCTTTCTGGCCTCCTTAGGCACCTGAACCCATGTACACAAATGCACACAGAGACATAATTAAAAAATAAAATAAACCTTAAAAATAAGATGTCCTTGAGTCCCTTGAGGTCTTCAGCATCCTTCAGCTTGGGGTTGTTTCATTTCTGATGACGCTAGTGTTTCCTGGGAGTCTGCCAGTCAGCAGGAAGCTCAGGTCTGTCAGGTCCCAACATCCCCCCTCCCTGATACCCACTTGCCTTGACCAGCTCACGTAGTTCAAATTGTCTCCAAGTCTTCAAGGTCCAAATCTACGTGATGCTTACTTCAGAGAGCCCAAGGCCAGGGCCAGGGACATGCTGCGCTATCGTTGGATGACACACAGAGAGAACGGACATTAAAGGATGGGCAGGGCATGAGACCAGATCCTGGCCTTGCTGAGGGAAGTCAGGGAGACAACACAGGATGGCCTAGGGATGGGAGAGGATGGTCCAGGAGGCCTGCAGTGGAGGCCCTGAGGCCCCCCAAGAAAAGATCTGTTCTAGTTTACTTTTTTTCTTTTTCTTTTTGTTTGTTTTGTTTTGTTTTGTTTTGTTTTTTGTTTTTTTAAGACAGGGTTTCTCTGTAGCTTTGGAACCTCTCCTGGAACTCTCTCTGTAGACCAGGCTGGCCTCGAACTCACAGAGATCCACCTGCCTCTGCCTCCCGAGAGCTGGGATTAAAGGTATATACCACCTCCACTCAGCCCTAGTTTACTTTCTTTTGCTGTGATAAAACACAGATCAACGACTTGGGGGAAGAAACAATTTGTCTTGGCTTACAGCTCACAGTCCATCCTTAGGGGAAGCCAAGGCAGGAACTCAGGACAGGGACCTGGAGCAGGAACTGATGCAGAGACAATGGAGGGGTGCTGCTTCCTGGTTTGCTCCTCATGGCTTGCTCAGTTTACTTTCTTGTCCATCCCAGGACCACCCGCCTATGAGAGTAGCACCACCCACAGTGGGCTGGACCATCCCACATAAATCAAGAAAATGTCCACTCATGCCCTCAGGCCAATCTAATGGAGGTGATTCCTCAATCAGTAGTGTCCCCTTTTCCCAGGTGACTCGAGTTTGTATCAAGTTGACAAAACCAGCCAGTATGAGGTCGGAGGAAGAGTGTGGTTAGCCATGTACTAAAGACTTTGTTTGAGGGGCCCCTTCAGTACAGAGCCTTCTGCTATCAATCAAAACACAGCTAGAAGCCAGGCCTGTCAACCCAGCTATTTGGGAAGCTGAGGCAGAAGGATCATACGCTCAAGGCCAGCCTGGGCTACAGAATGAGGTGAAGGCTAGCAACTTAGTGAAAGCTCATTTCTAAGCATCTCAAGAGAGCAGAGTAGCCCAGCAAAAGAGCACTCACCTCCCAGTAAGTGGCCCTGGGTCTATCCCTGGCACAGAGGGAGAAAGGAAGGCACTAAAGAGCTCTGCTGGGGATGTCAAAAACTAGGCTACCCACATTGGTGGGCACCTGAGATATGGTGCAGCTCTGATGCTGGACCTGGAGACCCCATGAACCCCCAGCTTGCCTCCCAGGTCTCTACCCCAGAGTCCAGCAGCTCCTGGGTACAAAGTTCCATTCTTGTGTCCACAGCAGCCCAGCCACCTAGCAGCTCAATGGATACATCAAACGTGGTCTGGTGGTCTGTGCACAGGAGGGGACCCTGAGTCTCTTACACATCTGACATGGGGATGGATCCAGAAGACACCAGAAAAGGGAGAGAAACCAGACACAAGAGCACGGTTCCAAGTGTGCATGAAGTGGTCATGTAAGTGAATCCAAACAGAAAGAGGCTGAGTTGATGTGGGAAGTCCTTCTGCATATGTGTTGCTCTTATTGGTTAATGAGTAAAGCTACTTTGGCCTATGGCAGAGCAGAATATGGCCAGGCTGCAAGAGATATAGAGAGAGTAGGCAGAGTCAAGAAGATGCCATGTAGCTGCCAAAGGAGAAAGACCTTACTGGTCACAGCCTCATGGCAATACACAGATTAATAGAAATGGGTTAATTTAAGGTGTAAGAGTTAGCTAATAAGAAACCTGAGCTAATAAGCCAAACAGTGTTACGATTAATATAGCTTCTGTGTGTTTATTCGGGCTGAGTGGCCGGGAAACAAAGGAGCAGTTTCGTCTTACATTAAGTGGCTTCCAGGAAGGAGGGGAAGTAATTGCCCCATGGCTAAGCTCTCCCCCTCCCCTTCCTACTCTGTCACCAGGCCACTGAATCTTTCAGTTTATTTATCTTTAAGACGAAGTCATAATGTGTAGCCCTGGCTGATCTCAAACTCAGAGATCTGCCTGCTTCTGCCTCCTGCATGCTGGGACTAAAGATGTGCACCACCATACTTCCAATCTTACACTTTAAATGAGAGAGTTTACCATATGCAAATTAAAAAGTATATATTGTT